CATTAATTGTGATATATATGCTAATCATATTAGGTAATTCCGTAGCTTTTATTTAAGGAAAGAATAAAAAATCTTCTTTTGTACACTACTAATTAAATATGATAGTTGGTATAATAAAAATAAACGTATGTTTAGTTGGACCGACATATTTCTCTAAGAGTTATGAAAATCATTCTCATTGTGACACGTGGCTACCAAAAATGTTGTAATGCTCCAACATATAGGAGATTTAAACTATTAATCAAAAATATTATAATTGAAATTTTTCAATGCTTTATTAATTTATAGTCGTTTGTAAAAAATTTAAATATAACATATGTCAAAATCTATTTTTTTGTTATATAGTTAATGTTATTGTTTAATTTATTTTTATAATTAAATTTAACAAAAATAGTAGATGCTATAATTCTTTTTATCAAATCTTCATATTCAAATCATTAATTGTCATATATATATTGTAACCATATTAGGTAATTCCGTAAATTTTATTTAAGGAAATAATGAATAGCATTAATAATAGTTTTATGTTTAGGCTAATAAAAAGTATATTATATGTTTATATGAACCAACATTTTTCTCTAGTAAATTTGAGAAGCATTCTCATGCTGACACGTGGTTACCAAAGAATGTTGTAATGCTTCTCAAATAATATATAGGGGATTGTCTGAAGGATACATGGTGTATTGAAACTATAACCAAGAAAGTGGAAATTCTGTTTAAATGATTTTGTTGATAAGGAAGTAAGTAATGATTATCACTAACTTTCATTTGTTTTGTTAATAGTGTATCGAACTCCTTTACTCAAATTCTTCTTCTTTTGTGATCTCTGAACCATAAACATTCATAGTTGTATTGTTTTTCATAGTTACTAATTTTTCTATATTTTTCATGTTAAATGTTCAATCAGTGGACAAGAATAGCTGTCGGTCTTGTCAACTGCGGTTAGGCTTCTCGGTGGCGGCGCGTGCTGAAGCAGCATGATTCTTGGTTTGATCTAGGGCTTCCTCGAGTCCACCGCACTTTAGGGTGTAGGTTGCTGTTTCTGTCGTCTTGGTGCAGGTTCGATGGCGTGTGGCGGCTCGTGGGTGCGTCCTCTCCAAATAAAGCTCGACCTTTTTTATTCCGGTGACCTTGGTCACGAGTGTAGCGGTTTGCCCTTGTTTTGCCGTGGCTTAGGTGGACTTAGCAAGCTGTTTTTGAGAATCCGATCTTTAAGAGTTGGTCACCGGGGAGGCCAAAATTACTGGGTTCAATCTCTCGTTTTAACTGTGGGTTCAATTCTGTGGCAAGCGAATGTTCGGCCTCTGTTGTTTCCTTCTTGATGCTGCTGTTACTCTTGTAGATAGGTCCTGTAATGTTTGGTCGGAGTCTCTGTTAGATTTATTTATGTTGCTCTGTTTCTCGTCTTCTTCGTATGCTGTAAAAAACTGAAAAATTGGTATTAATTTTAGAAAAAATTGCCAAAATAGAACAGAAAAACAAGTAGATTGTCCCTTTGCCATAAATCGTTTTTTGGTCAAATTTGGACTTAGATACCCTTAGCCAACTTTAAAAATTCATATCAATTGTTTTAGCAGTCAGAAAAATATGAAAGTATACACAAAATGTTTATAAACAATAGACCATCATAGGAAAAATAATTTGGTTGAATAAATATTAGTGGAATATAATTTCATATTTTGATCTACCGACGGTAGAAAAACGTCGTCTAGTGTCTACGGGCTCGTAGATTGAATATTGGGCTTACCACAGATATATCTACTATGCTAGAACAAATACGGCTACTATTTCACATATTTCTAAACTACGGTAGAAAAGGACAAGGCAATCAATCTACCATGATTGAATATTCTGACAATATTTGATTACGTATCTACCAAAACACTTTAGCCTACCACAGGGAGTTTACAAAAAAAAACCCTAAACTACCGTGTTTTATACTTCTACGGACAATTTAGGGTATGTTCTACCAATTTCGAAATATATAGTTTCCTTAAATATCTCTAAAATCTGTTAGCAGAATATATCCTAAATCTATTTTTCCTAAAATATCGTGTTTCCTAAGTTAGTTTTTTTTTAAAAAATCGTGGTCTTCATCTTCTTCTTCATGACGATGAAGAAAATTTTGTAAACTAACACAAAATTTGAAGCTTTTGTTGAAGAAGATGCATATCTATGCCTCTTGTGGGGTGTGGAAATTTGATCGCCTGAAAGGATGGGGATTTGCGGTTGATAAGATCAAAGGTGGAAAAGTACTGGTTGTGGAATCGAGAAGTTCGTTTGAACATCTAAGAACTATGGCTTTTGTAGATTTTGGAATTGACGAAAACGATGTGGAGCTTCAGTTAAGCTATTTACCTATGGAGTTAATCAGTTCAATAGACTGTCCCCCAGTTATCATTGAGAATGATCGGCAAGTCCAAAATTTTCTTTCATATATGCGTGGAAAACCTTCGCCAACGTTATGTGTGTCTACTTCACCTATCAATGGAAACAGCGCCAACATTGAGGTTGATAAAGAGGATTCTAAAACTCGTTTCAGTGAGAAAGGTGAACCTTCTTTGTTTTCACCTCGAGATGATATGGGTAGTTCATCTGAGTCAAATAAAGATGATGAAGACATTGGGAACTCGAACGACTGGGAAGAAGATGTTGGTGTCGAGTTAGCAAGAAAAGAAGATGATAGTGGAAAAAGTGTTCGGTGTTCTTTGATGGATGTTGTGAAGAGGGGTGAAACGTTTGAAAACAAATCGAAGTTGAAAGCAGCATTGGAAATGTCCGCAATGAAGAATAACTTCGATTACAAAGTTGTGAAATCAGATAGAAAGCTTTGGTACATCCGATGCATTGACAAGAAGTGTAAGTGGAGTGTTCGTGCTGAGGGTTTATCAGGATCCACGTATTTCATAATAAAAAAATATGTGACAGATCACACATGTGCGGCGTCAAGTATGAGTAATGGTGGTAGGACTGCTTCTGCAAAAACTATTGGGAGTCTCATAATGCATAGGTATAATGGTGTCAAAGAAGGTCCCAAAACTAATGATATTATACAGATTATGAGATTGGATCATGGATGTGAGATATCTAAATCATTAGCATGGGATGCTCGTGAGTATGCTATTAATATGGTTAGAGGTATTCCGGAGCAGAGTTTTGGTAAAATTCCAAGATACTTGCACATGCTAAAAGAAGCTAATCCAGGAACACACACATTCTATGAAACCGATGTCAATGGTAAATTCAGATTTCTGTTCGTTTCTTTTGGGCAGTCAATACGAGGTTTTCACACAGCCATGCGGAAAGTTGTTGTTGTTGATGGGACCTTTTTGAAGAGCAAATATAAAGGGGTATTACTTGTTGCAACAGCTTTAGATGGAAACTCCAACTTGTACCCTATAGCTTTTGCGGTTGTGGACTCAGAAAATGATCGTTCATGGGATTGGTTTTTCAGACAACTAAAGGTTGTTGTTCCAGACGAGCGTTCTCTTGCTTTTGTGTCCGACAGAAATAGCTCACTTTGTAAGGGGCTTGAGAATGTGTATCCTCTTTCTCAACACGGAATTTGCATTCACCATTTGTTGAATAATGTGGTCACAGATTACAGAGGAAAGGGAGTGGTTGGATTGATTGCAAAAGCTTCTAAAGCTTATAGAGTTGTCGATTTTCAGATGTATTTTCAAGCTGTGTGCAATATTAGCCCAGCCATTGGAAACTATTTAACAAAATCAGATGTCTCAAAGTGGGCTCGTTGCCAATTTCCAGGCTACAGGTATGACATCAGGACCACAAACCCGGCTGAATCAATAAACTCTGCTTTGCGCTCACCAAGAGAGTATCCAGTCATTCCTTTGTTGGATAGCATTAGAGAGATGCTTACTCGTTGGTTCTTCGAACGCCNCTCGTTGCCAATTTCCAGGCTACAGGTATGACATCAGGACCACAAACCCGGCTGAATCAATAAACTCTGCTTTGCGCTCACCAAGAGAGTATCCAGTCATTCCTTTGTTGGATAGCATTAGAGAGATGCTTACTCGTTGGTTCTTCGAACGCCGCACAAAAAGCAGGAAGCACTCTAAACCATTAACCATTGCCATCGAGAAAAAGATAGATAGACGGATTACCAAGGGTAAAACGTTTCTTGTCCAGCCGGTTAATGAGCATCGTTTTTTGGTTCGTGGAGATACAATCGACTGCCTGGTTGATTTGGACAGAAGAACCTGCTCATGTGGGAAATACGACCTACTGAAAATCCCATGTAGACATGCAATCAAGGCTGGTTTAACAGTTGGCCGAGCCCCATCTTCACTAACCGATGACATGTACACGACTTCTACTTGGAGAACAGCTTATGAAGAAACTATCAATCCAATTAGTGTTCCTGAGGATAGTTGGGTTGTTCCAGATAATGTTAAGAATGCTAATGTGTTACCTCCTGATTCAAGAAGAGGAGCAGGAAGAAGAAGAAAACGCAGATATGAGACAGTTGAAGACAAGCTCCGTTCATCGCAAGGAAGTCAAGGGAAGAAGATGCGCAAGTGCAGTCGATGTGGTGAGTCAGGACATAACAGAGCTACATGTGACATACCTATTTAGTCATGTGTTGGTCTCTGATTTTCATGCATTTCAATAATTTGTTGGTTATGCCTTTGTTTTTGTTTCGGATTTAGTCATGTGTTTGTTTTGGATTTTCATGTTTTAGTCATGTTCTAGATATGGTTTACTTGACAGAGCTATTTAGTATGTCTTTGTTTTGGATTTTCTCATATTTTCTTGTTGTTTGATACGGTTTACTTGATTTCAATGTTATCTGTTTGACAATAAGTTGTAAACTGAGGCTAGCTTTGACACTGAGAAATCAAACAAGATGTATTATATTGTGGTAAAAAAGAGGCACTTGAGTATATAGTAGTCGATCATAACCAAAACAATACTCAAAACAACAAGAGATTCTGAATCCATCAAACTCAGACAAGAAGCATACAACAACTAGAACTTTCTCAGACAGTAAGAGAAGTCCATATTCCAACGATTGCACCTGCAACTACCATAGGCATCGTAGCAATCTTTAGCTTCTGCTTCATCTCCTGTGCAACTCTAGCAATCTCCAAGTTCACCTTATCATTGAGCTTTTCCGACATCTCATGTTCCACTCTAACCATCTCGGACTTCACCTTTTCCATAACACTTTCTTGAAACTTAGCAATCCCTTCAGCAACCAACTCATGTTTTGCATCCACCATTCGTATCTCGTCAAGCAAAGCTTCATCAATCCATTTAAATAGATGATTCTCAGTTTTTCTCTATCGAAAAATAAACAAAATTTAAGTCAGTATTCTAAGTGATATTGAACTGCTTAATATGCAAATCGAAATCAAAACAAGGACTTACATCTAATGTGATTTCGCATCGATAGAACCGTCGATACTTATTCTCCGCGGTTGATGAACCAAAAGTAGTTATGCCCTCGCCACACCAACATCTTCTAGGGACACCATGAGTAGCGATACGAGGAAAACGAGCAGAAGATGTTGACGAAGTGGACATAGTGATTTTGTTTCTAGATTTCCACGATCTCGCAGAGAAAGAACCCTAATCCCCTTTTCTCTCTACTTTAGTTTCCTAACTTTTGGCAAATGAATAGACAATCACGTGTTTGGGCGTCTCTAGATCCGGGTTTTGGGGTCGGGTTTTAAGAATTTTCGGGTGGGCCTAGTGGGTATAAACCGTAAATGGTTGTACTCTGATAACTCTTATAGTGGGTGCTAAATGACTACATTATAATACCTCAATGGAGAAGTCATATGAGAACTAAACGTGTTAACATTCTAAGTTCAAAACTATAACTTAGTATGTCTCACGTGGGTATCATTTGTATAACCTAAACCATAACTTAATATGTTAACATTCTAAATAGTATTCTTATTCACTCTTTATGTGATTTAGGGTATTGAACCCAATCTAGTTAGTGTTTAGTGTGTTTTAGTGTATTCATTCTTTATGTGATTTAGGGTTTAGCTAATGAACCCTATCTATTTTAAGGTTTAGGGAATGTCCCTATCTATTTTAGGGTTTAGGATATGTTTAGAACTATTTTAGGGTTTAGGATATGAACACTATCTATTTTAGGGTTTAGGGTATGAACCATATCTATTTTAGGGTTTAGGGTATGAACCCTATCTATTTTAGGGTTTAGGGTATGTTTAGAACAATTTTAGTTTTTAGGGTATGAACCCTATCTATTTTAGGGTTTAGGGTTTGAACCCTATCTATTTTAGGGTTTAGGGTATGAACCCTGTCGGTTTTAGTTCATGTAAGTACTTCAATAACAGTGAAATAGCAATGCAACAATTCCATAGCAATAAGAGTAATGTAAAAATCAACATGTCAAATACAAAGAGGAAACAAATTAGAAATCTAAAACATCATCAAGCAACACCAACATATTCAAGTGAGATCTATAGTTTTTCCTGGAGCACGCTTTGGAGGCTTGAATGTTGACATTCTGAACTGCAAGACCTCATCATTAGCTGCTTCCCAGAGATCGTATGCGATCTTGTGCCGGGCTTCTTGGATGTTCTCGTCGTGCATCAAAGAGAAATCGAAGCCAAGTACATGGCACTCTATGAACTTCAAAGCATACGCACCACAATCATTATTATTCTTGTTTAGGTCGCCGCGCATAGGAACATATGAAACAGTATAAGGCTTCACATTGAAATCTTTCTTCCTTTCCGATGATTGAACACCCTTGACAATTCGTGGAATGAGGCTTGCGAATGCTTCCACCGTCCTCGTGTTCCTCAGACCCGCACAATCGAAGACCTCAATTGTCCGGTTCACAAGATTTACACACATAGAGATCCAGTGGTTTTGGTTGACAAAAGTCGGGACATAAAGACGATCAACATCAACATCCCATACTAAACCTGTTCTTCCATGATATGGAAGGTCACCTCTTCCATAATCGAGAAGAACTTCGTCGAGTTCGTACCCTCTCTTTTTCCCCTGAAACTGCCCGTTCGCCGCGATGATACTATTACTAAACGAACAGCTCATAAAAGCCACTCGGTCTGGCTTCCAACGACGCAACGTGGTCTTTTCTTGAAACAAGTACATCATGGCGTCTATGTCCTGAAAAGCACATTACATATGTATGAGCTAAAAATACTTAGTTTAGAAAGTAGCATTATCAGATGTAAACTTACAAAGTTCTTGAACCATTGACCAGGCCCAATTATACGTTTACATAACGTTCCATCAAAAATGGATGGCCCAAGCTTAAGTCGACTGTAAAGAAGAAGCATTAGTGTTACAAGCAAGAATCTATAAGAACAAAAACTTATGTACGTGGGATTCAAGGAACTACTTACGTGGGATTCAAGGACCATTCATTTAGTTTCTCCCACTTGTCATCTGGAACAAAAACTAAAGCGTAGTCACTATCTTTGCAACGGACTTCTGGTGTGTCATCATCAACTAAGAATGGACGCTTAAAGTCCTCTCTTGGGAAAGAAGTCATAGGAGTGGTGAACTCATCTTTTACTTTAGATTTCATGTCTTGAGAAGGATCAAACCCTATAACATGGGACTCTTGTGTAAGGTTACCCATAGTCTTCTGTAAGTACTCTTGGGTCCCTAAATTGGCATCTAAGGTCTCAAATAAGCTCCCAAAAATATCAGACACATTTGAATCCTGGTTATCAAACACAAAACACAAAAATTAACATTTTTAAAACATATATATTACAAGCCGAAACTACATCATCCTTACATCAACATTAAAAAACAGTCCATGATCCTTACATTATTCGTACAACCACCCAAAACGAAAACATCATCCTTACCTTAATAGTACAAACCACAAGTACAATACATGAGATCAATAGAGGTTTATCACTTGGTTACCTTTGACTTCGACCTTTTCTTGGCAGCATTTGCAGGACCACCAGTTTCAGGATGACCTCCAGTGCGTGAAGAAACAGGAGCTCTGCTGCGAGAAGGAGCAGGAGTCGAAGCCGGAGCTGGAGCAGGAGTCGAAGCCGGAGCTGGACCAGGAGTAGTGAAAGTGGCAGCCGGATCATCAGTTGCAGTGTGAGTTGAAGCCGTAGCACCAACAGGAGCAGTAGGAGTAGGACCATGTGAAAGACCTCGATTCTGAGATGCGAGGAGCTTCTCCTCAAATATGGTAAACCGGTCATTAATTGTATCATGTACATCAAGCGCTAAGGAAGTGAAGGACGACTTAAACATGCCATGAATGTAAGACTTCATTTCCTCTTCAAGCTCTCTATATTTCTCGGCTGATCTTTGGGAGAGTAAACTCTTCTTCCTTGACTGAACACCAGTATCTTGAAACAATTTTTTCCTCTTTCTTTCAACAGGCGCAGCTGCAGATTCTGGTTCTTCTTCCATTTCATTCTCACTTGTTTCTACATCCCCTTCTGCTTCTGTATTTTCTTCATCAGAACTAGGTACGTATGAGTGTCGAGGTTCATGATAAGCCCATACATGCTTACTCCAATCATAGTTGTTCCGGTACATGTCAATGATGAGATCGACTCTTTCATCATTCATCTCACCCGCTTGTGCAAACTGAGCTTGAACAATAACATCCGAGAACGTTCCGTTGGAAGCGATGGATGGAAACAAAACTCCCTACACAATATAAACAAAGAAACAAGGTGAAAACACATACATAAAGATAAAAGAATTAAATCACATTAAATTGAATCAAAACTTACAGTGGAGGTGAAATCAGACTCAAGGCTACTAATATCTTCAAAGGAAATCCTACAAGATCCTTTCCAGTTTCTGCATCTCATGCTCATGACGCCTTGTTCAAGTTTCTGACCCAAAAGAGTACCAATGTCTGGAATTGCCTCCATCGCCCAAATCTGAAGTGCATAGGAGAATCCATCGATAACATAACTCTTCTTCGTCTTCACTTTGTTCCTAGCATCGATAATGGAACTCACCAGCATGTTGAAGGAATGAAGTCCCCACGGGTACTTCCTCATCTTCTCGAAATCCATCACGAGCTTGATGTACTTGTGTGGTATCCCCACCTTCTCATCCTTCGCCATAACCATACCAGCAATAACACACAAATACACCAATCTCAGTCTATCAACATGAGACCACGTATTACACTTCTTTAGATGGACCTTCCTGATCTGTTGCAGAGTTATCTTTTTTTTCCTCTTAAGCAACAGACTCCAAAACCCTTTATCAGATTTCCAATCATCGATATCCAAGTCAGGTTCGTCTTCATACTTCAGACCAGTGATCGCATAGAACTCTTGCATTGAAAATCTCAGAGGCCTCCTAGCAAAATGGAACCACAACTCATGAAGCTTTGCGGTCAGAAGCTGCTTACAAACGAAGGTGTGGATCACTGTCCCAGAATAGCCAAGCTTGTGATCATGAATGGCCATGACTTGAGCAAAGAGCGGATCCTCCAAGACATCCGAGTACTCAGCTGGAACTGACGCTTGCACCAACTCAAGGATCGTAGCTCGACAAGTGTTGTTGACCTTAATTTTAGTTTCGGTTCCTTCTTGGAATAGGCACTTAGGCAATTGATCCATAATGGTACCTGTGAACAATGAAACAAATACAATTAGTACTCATGAGTAATGTATAAATCAGACACCATAGTCAAAGCAAAACGAAGACAATAATGCAAAACCGAGACCACATACCATTCCAATTACATCAATTAAACGAGATAAAACAACATAAACTGTATAAAATTGAGTTAACAATTTGGTAAACCACAAAACATCAAAAGTTAAGAAACTTTGCTATCATATNGCAAAACGAAGACAATAATGCAAAACCGAGACCACATACCATTCCAATTACATCAATTAAACGAGATAAAACAACATAAACTGTATAAAATTGAGTTAACAATTTGGTAAACCACAAAACATCAAAAGTTAAGAAACTTTGCTATCATATAAGCCTAAATTATTCACACAATCAATAATATAAACATGTTATACTCATACTAGGATTAAAGACACTCAAATCAAAGAGAGAAGACATGCGAATTTATGTTCACAAGTCCAAGAAAAAAACTGAAACCGAAACCACATAGCTTACAAGATATGTATGTGTAAAACCCAAGCCAATTGTATATATATGAGACACCAACTCGAGCTATGTCAACACAAGCCTGAAACTTTAATAGCATATCCGATGAAAAAAATCAAGTGTAAAACTTTAAGAGCAAAACCGATCACAAAAATCTAAGAATGAAACTTTGATAACAAACACTCAAATCATTCATAGAAACTACATTTCAAACCTATCACAATCAAATATATGAGTTAAAAACGAATCAAATTAAAGATACAAAGACATGCAAAAACAAAAAATAACAACTACTTGAACAAACCTGAAAATCTCTATCGTTTTGCTTGAACTACACTTGAGAGTGTATATTGCAGAGCGGCAAGGCCCGAGCTTCACTTTCCGACGAGGCACGAGATACACTGTTCGGGATTTATTTCAGAACGAGATGCGGATTGAGCAAGAGTGTCTTAGACTTCGATTAATAAGAAGAATACCACCGGAGTCTTATCGGGAAGAAGGAACACCGGCGACGGCGAGCTCTGACAAGCCGATGACTTGGAGTCGGCTCTTCTCTCTATCGCCAACGGAGGGGTGAAAATTAGGGTTCGTACAAACCGCAATTGGGAATAAAACGAGTTTCCCCCTTTTGTTTATTAATATTCTTTTTTACTTTTAATTTTGTTTTTAATAATTAAAATAATAAAAATCATTAAGGTTTAGATTAGGGACTTAATTGGGATTTTCAAAAGTATTATACTAATTGGACAACTTATACTTCCTATTATGGCATAGGGACAATCTATTAGTTTTTTTGTTCTATATTTACAATTTTCCCTTAATTTTAACATGTTTACCAAAAAAAAAAAAAAAAAAATCAGTGGAAAAGAATTCATACTTCAGTTGAATCAAGGCTCATCAAAAAATTTGAAAACAATCTAGCTGCGGGTCATGTAAAGGTGGTACACTTGTTCAAAGTGAATCATGTTGGTGGTGGGGACTATCGGACAAGCGTACATCGTTCCAAAATCAACTTCTTTAAGCCTATCCAATAAAAGTTTGAAACTTATAAATTGTTACAGTTATTTGTTTCTTCTATTAACAGATAAATAATGATGAACTAGAAAACCGATTGTAGTTGACTACAAACCAGTTTTCAAACTATTTCGATGACGGTATGTAAATTTGATATAATACTATGTTCAATAAAAATTAGAATTTTATAAATCTATCAATTTATTTTATTCCATACAATTGCTTACAAAATTAATTTTTTTTTTGCAGGTTTCTATTGGATTTTGTTTTTCTTAATCGAGAATTGTACTTCTTAATTTATATTACTTATGGATTTTATTTCAACTTTTATCATATTAGAATTTTAAAAATGTCACTTTTTAACAAAAATATAAACATAAATTTAATATTCATCTAAAATATATAAGGGCTCCCTAATATACAGTTATAACATACATACAACACAATTTACTTAATGATAATATAAAATCCATAATTTCCAAAACTATAAACGATTTATTTCATATTATCAATATTTTTATGTCCGTACAGGATGCGTGCCGGTCACCTAGTTAGATAATAAGCTGAAAATTTTATACAAAAATAAATGTAAAGAAATTAAGTTATATCAAACTAATTATATGAAAATTTTCAGATAGTGTATTATAAAAACAAAATAATTAATTTTCTAATATGGTTTATTGGGTGTTTAAGATAATGTATGGGAAAGTATGCACGCGCTTTGGAATGGTCGAATATAAATAATCTGTGGACTTTCGGTTATTTAACCTAGTTATGGTGATGTCATTGTATATTTGATTTTTTTTTGTATATATGATTATTTGTATAATTTTTATTTACCCACATACCCGTAATATATAGTTGACTTATTAAAGGTTTATTTGTTTCAAACATTCACCTAGTTTTTTGGTCAAGGAAGCCAAGTGATTAATAAGTTGTCTAACGTTTTTGTTTTCTTTCAACGAAAAAGTAATCAAGAAGAAAAGGTCACATTTATTATTTTGCTGTGCATTTGAAAATTCCTTCGTAATTTCTTGTATCTTTTATACATAAAATTAAAAATGTTTAGGTTATGCCATAACCTTCTACACATTTTCTAAGTTGCGATGACTATATAAAAGAACACCCAATGTCCTATGTTTGTATAATTTCAGTTTCAAGAAAATAAAAATTTAAAGAAACAATGGAAGGTTACATTATTTCTCTTATGGTATGCGGTTGCTTCGCTATAATCGTGGTTGTTCTCATCTTATATTGTCTGCAGAACCGGAAAAAGAAAAAAACGTGGTCTCCTTCACCTCTTCCGCCGCTAAGAGACATTGAAAACGGTAGAAGCAGTGTCCTTCCGAGAGATGGAGGGCTCGTAGTTTTGACAGGAACTGCTGTCACCACACCCGTTGTAGCTGCCGCTGTAACCACCGGGATCTCTAAGGACACTAGTGGTGGCGATGAAGGTGGAGGAGACTGTGATGGTGGTGGAGATGGCGGAGGGTTGTGGTGGTTGTGGCGGTTGTGGTGGGTGTTGAGGTTAAAGATTTTATATCGTTATTAGTTATGTAATAATTAAATTATATGTGCGTGTGGTATATTTATGGGCAGATAATATATTTTCATGTAATAATTTAAGAGTGCATTATTCTTTAGAACACATTTTGGACTTTCTTTACTAAGACAGATTCTACTTGAGGTGTACATTCTCGGATTCCAAGAAGCTTTTTGGACTAAAATGCCCTTATGTCTAGCGAAAGTACACAATATAAACGGATTGCTTTTTGTCAATAGTTAAGATGTCTAGTTAGTAGATATTTTTTTTTTTTAAATTCAAATTATTCATACTCTTTCCATTTAATGTTCTGATTTACTTTTCCTTAAAATATATATAAAACAAATATAACTGTTATACTAAGTAATATTTTTTTTCTCTATATTGTGATATCCATTTTCACATATATATTTTTACAATTATAGAAAAATATATGGAAATTAAAAACGTGGACGTGTGTTGGACGTGTGTTCATGTACGAAAATAATATAGAAAAATTGTGGACATGGATGGCTGGAAAAAAGTGGAAAAACTCTTATACACAGTTATAAAAATCAAAGTTTGTTTTTACAGCTTTTTCACAACTCATATATTTCTTGGTTGTTTCGAACCAGAAAATGGTTTAAAGACAAAGATTAATTAGAAAAATGAAGGTGAATAGAATTAGATCACTCATCTGAATTTTCTTTAGAAAATGGAATATGTGGACTGAAGAAGCGTGGATGAGGTAAATGTGGATACGAGTTCATGTGGACACTAGCTAAAGTATTGATCTTTTGCCGATCACATCCTTTTGAATCTAATTAAACTCTAGCTAAAGTATGGATCTTAAAGTGTTTACTTGTAATAAGAGAAAGAGGTTTAGTAAACCGAAGAACCATAGTCATATTACATGGATGATCTGCCTTGCCTCATTGAGGTCCTGCATTTTTGCTTTTCATAGCATAGGGGACAAAAGTGTGCTTTGTCTTCTCCTTTTGTTTCAGGCAGAGATCCTTCAACTTCTGGACCTGCAAAAAAAAAACTCACCTTTTATTCCAATACATTGATTTTGTTGAGAACCCATTTACAAATCCGATTCTAGATTATAGTTTTCAATTTCTTCTAGAATCTGTCTTAAGTCCAAAGATTTAAAAAAGGGAATGAAGGAAGGAAGCTATTATTTTTTGGTTCTTATCTTTAAGCTGAAACTTAAACTCTGAGCTTGAAATCTCTTGATCCTTATTCATGCTCAAAAGCTCCATCTCATTTCGAAGAACCATATAAACAGTCCTCGTTTTTCCTTTAACCTCTGCCAAAACCTTTACCTTTTCCTACTCTTTACCAAATAGTTTCCTCTGAAGTGTTCCCAAATTACCTTTTCCTTCTCCTTCATGAGTTCCTGAAAAATCACAAGGTCAATCCTTTTGGTTTTGGAAATAGATTTCTTCATATCCATGAGCTTCTTCGTCATGCAAGTGAGGTTCCCCAGATTGATATATGGTTTAGATGTTTTGGTTAAGTAGAAAAGTTTGGATCTGTAAGAAGAAAAATTAGAGTTTAGATCCAGAGAGATGAAGGAGACCAAAACTTTTATATATTTTAATAATGAAGAACTATCTAGGAATAAAGCCAAAGAGAGAGTAGAAAGTTTAGATAAGTGAGTAACGAGAGAAAGAAACAAATAATATTGTTTGAAGGACAAAATAGACAATCAACACAGTAAATGTGTGTCACATGCAAGATGTGTTTTAAAATGTAATAACAAAGTTAAAAAGTGTCTTCCTATGTAAATTTTTCATAATTTAATCGTGAATGTAAGGTTTTTCAGGTGATCTCCGTAATGAGAAAAAAACTTGTAGTCATAAGTTCATAACTAATGGATCATAATAAGGTGAATATAAACATATTATGTAAATCTGAATTTTCTGTTTTTCGGAAATTTTGTTTCTGTAGTATAATGACTGAGAAAGTCTTGTAAATTCAACTTTCAAACACAACTCTAATTACTCCAAAAATATTGAGTACGTAAGTGGAAGGGCTTAATTTTGGGAATGTTTTAGTTGTTATTTTCTTTAGTTAACCGAAGTAATATAGACTTCTACCACCTCGACTAACTGTCATGATGAATATAATCGTTTAGTACCTTATTCGTCAGATTTTAAATAAAGTTAAAAATTGATAGGGAAAATTCTTAAAAAAACACAGACTAAATTTCTTTTGCTGAAAAAATACACCAATTTTTTAGGCTTTCCGAAAAATATACAGACTAATTTTGATTATCCATAAAATACATGAACTTTTGATTTTTGAAGATTTCATACCTCGATTTTAACGACTATTAACTCTGATTAAAAGAACAGAAAGACGACGTTTGATGACGTTAACTCTAATTCAAAGTTCATATATTTTATGGACAACTAAAATTAGTCTGTGTATTTTTCGAAAACCTAAAAAATCCGTATATTTTTCAACAAAATAAATTTAGTCTATGTATTTTAAAGGAATTTTTCCTATTCTTTTATTCTTTTTTGTTGCAACATCATATTTATTTTATTCAAGATATATTATAATTAGGTTTAGCAGTTTAGGTCTAGGCATTTTAGCCGGATTCAAAAACTATAACCGGAACTGACCCAAAAATATTCGGTCCGAAACCAAACCAAAAGTTTACAAGTATTTGTTGGGTCCAAAATTCTTCTACTCTAAAGAATCTAAAACGAAAAGAACTGATCCGAACAGATCCGGACCCAATAAAATAGACATGAATAGATTCAATCCGACAAGAACCAATTCATAAAAAAACATGTATTTCCAAAACTCAGATTTATTTGTGTTCAATTTTACATACTTTGTTTATTTTATAGTTTAGCTGAAATATCTTTCTGTTAACAATCTTTGTTATTATTTTTGAAATATTTTCTAGTTTTGTTTTTGTAACAGGAACATTTTAATTAATATGAAACTTTCAATGTAAAATTTAGAGTTTTAAAAGTTGTTATTTTTAATCATTAATAGTTTATTTAAAGTCATTTTGTGAATTTTTAGATATATATGATAGATTTCGACTAAATTTGATGGAGTTTGAATATTTTTTATCATATTCAAAGGCTAGATATCTAGACATGATACGGATCCAAAAATTAAAAAAAATTTACATATAGTTTAATTATATCTTTGAATCGACCCATGCCCAAGAAGAGCCAACCAGAACTCGAACCAAAAAATTGTAAGTACTTATTGGGTCCAAATATCTTAGACGCAAAAGACCCGGATCCGAAAAGAACCGGCCCAAACCTGACCTAAAAACCCAAATAAATAAAAAACACATTCTCTATCACATGATAAAGATCTAAAAATTACCAATATCTTATACGTATTTTAATTATAGATCCGAACCGATCCATGAAGAACCGGCCTCAACATGAACTCAAATAATTCAAAATTTACATTTTTCAGTCAAAAAAAAAAAAAAGTCTCTATCACCTTAGACTCCGAATGTTACGAACCGCCACGCAGTTAACAGTAACAAAAATCTCTATATATACCATATATCTATATGTTTCTATAATTGTTAGAACTAAGCCGCAGTTGAACCGCTTGTCTCGTACCGCTCAATCCGCAGTTACCATTCAGAATAGTAGTATATTTTAAAAAATTCCTTAAAAATACACATACTGATTTTTTTTTTGCTGAAAAAATAAACGAATTTTTTAGGTTTCCCGAAAAATACACAGGCTAATTTTGGTTGTCCATAAAATACATGAACTTTTGAATCATAGTTAACGTCATCAAACGGCGTCTTAATGTTCTGTTAATCTGAGTTAACGTTGTTAAAATCGAGGTGTGAAACCTCCAAAATTCAAAAGTTCATGTATTTTATGGACAATTAAAATTAGTCTATATATTTTTTGGGAAGCCTAAAAAATTGGTGTATTTTTACAATAAATGAAATTTAGTCTGTGTATTTTTAAGGAATTTTCCCAAATTGATATCATTTCAATTAGCCAAATATTAAATTTTTTAAAAGAATCAAGAATATTTAAGGTCTCCATCATGACTTTGCTATATAGAGAGGAGTAAGATGTATCAGGTGAGTCTACGTAACAAAAACATAAAGCTGATAGTCTTAGAATGTTGTGAGGTAAAATCTGTTTAGATGGTTCAACATAAACAAGTAAGAATTTTACTTGTTTTCATAACCATTAGCTGACTATTTCCCGAACTATCATTCCAAACCCATCCACATCCACTGAACTGCGCTGTAGAGGTCTAAGAACCATCTACCATACAGATGTTTCCCAAGCTTATGGCCTGGCTGTTAACCTCTATGGTTCCTTGGGGTGACGATATAATCTGCTCATTAGCTTGGAACCAGGTTTGGCACTCGCTCTCTGCATGGAGAGCTAACTCCAAAGGATCTCTATCTATTCCTCTGAATAATTAATCGTTCCGGGCTTTTCAGATATACCAGATTAGCCATGGATAAGGATCTCTATCATGAAAGGGCAAAGAACGCACAAGCTTGGGCTTCATCATTTATTTATATGCCAAGCTTCATCAGACCAATCCTGATCCCTTGTAAAATCCTTCTAGTATCTTGTCAGCCTTGGAAAGAGATAAGCTTTAAGTGTGTTCAGGAAATTCTGAGTTCGCTTACATGAAATGTTATATTGACTTTTGAGTTAACTTGTTTATATCAAAGCATGTAAATCTTTGAACACCTTTGCTTCTGTTTGTGAAATATCTTTCTCTCTTTTAAATTGTTATATAAATCTGTGATATCTATTTTGACCTCATTTCTTTAACTATAGAATAATTTGATAGGTTCAGCTAATATTTCTCTGAATCTTTAGAGTTAACTCTGTATAGTAATGTGTCAGAGATTAGTTAACTTAGCTCCACGATAGTTACATGTGATGGTACGCCATTGTCATGTGTATGTTGCATTACAGAGGATACCACATAGCTCTTTATGAATGTTTCATGGTTTGCTACAGCCTTGACCACTTTTCTTTGGTTTAGCATGTCAGAATAAATAAAAAGGCAATCCAAGTCACACATCGGATATTAGACAGAATAAAGTCTAATATATATAACTGGTCCAATCTCACTTAATATGAGGCCTTTTGGGAGTAACGACCCAAAAACAAATCCATGAGGGCTTAGGCACAAAGCGGACAATATCATACTAAGCGATGGATTGGACATCTGGTGATG